CATATCAAGGAGAAGTGTACTTTGGGATAAGGGTGGCATATCAATGAGAGGTGTACTTTGGGATAAGGGTGGCATATCAAGGAAAGGTGTACCTTTGGATATAAGGGTGACATTTGTGTATGTGTTACCTAAAGTTGGTGGGAAATAGAGTCAACTAGTCAGCTCTGTATCGTACCAACGTTTAGAAGGGTATGGGTTTGTCATTTGTGTGCATAAGGACAAGACAACAACAATAGTGCTAAGCAAGCTTCCTTTGATCGCTGAATGCCGGAATAACCTGGAGGTCTCTTCAGCATTCGCTGAGGCTTGAGCAGTCTTCACACATATGTAGACGGGCTATTAATCACTGAGTACCGCTTCAGATCACGTACTCGCTAGTCCCTACTCTTCAGTTTCAGTCTTCGACATTAGCTGAAGGTTCTTTGATGTGAGTGTTGTCTTCTTGAAGTATCGTTGTCTCTGATTGAATTACAATACAAGTTCTTTAGCGATCACTGAACAGGCTCAGTGATGATCGCTGGAACTGAAGAGACATAAACATAAATACAACGTATAAGTGAAAAGGGATTATCATCAAATCACTGAGAGAGGATCAACACCTTTATCTAAGGAGAACTTTGTTTCATGTTCGTTCCTTAGGGATGGTCCATCATTAGGACTGGAGAGTTTTTTTTCTTCCTTCCACCTTTCTTCAGAGAGGGCCTGTCAAGGACTGCAACATACCTGGACATCCTTTTTATGAGATCGTTGATGATGTCTTCAATAATCAACTTATGTCTTGACTTGGATTGCTAAATGGCTTGCCTGATCTCTAGCCATTCGTTATATCCATAGCGGCTAAGGTAGGAAAAGTACACGGTGATGGCGTAGAGATTGTCCCTGGTGATGAGCATTGAGACAAGAGTTCCAACTTCTTTCAATCGTCCACTGATGCTGATGCTCTTGATTGAGTGAGGACTAATTCTCTTCTTCAGCTTTGCTTCGCTCCAGCGCTTGTCTCGCTCAGCCAGCTTCAGGTTTTTCTCGTGCTCAGCTTCTACAAGAGAAAGAAGTTTAGCTTGGGCGTGGACAATGTTCACCTTCTTTTTGAACTTTCTCTTTGGGAGAATCTTTTCAGCTAGTGACTTGGCCAGCTTTAGGCTATCTTCAGTCTGCTTCTTTTGAAGCTCTAGCTCTTCTTTAGCCCTTAACGCCTCAAGTCTTTCACCTTCTAAAAGGAAGTCAAACTCACCACCACAAAAGGTACGAAGAGAAATTTTTACTCTAGTCTGGTCAAGGGACTCCTTTAGCTGAGCCATCTACTGGTCAGTAGGAGCACTGGAGATAGGGTTTTCAGGGACCCACTCTAGTCGACCGTAGGAAGTCGATGGAATCTAAAGCTGATAAAGAGAAGTGACTACTACCTGAGAGGTAGAGTCTTCAAATAAGGGTTGAGTAATGTTAAACAATACCTTCAGGCTCCCTACTTTAGCAACGCCTTTGCCTTTTGACTTAAGGTCCAAGTTCATTGAGCGGACTCTTCTTCCCTTTGCTCCCCCTGGGATGCATAATTCTTGAGGGCGACTCCCTTGGTGGCGGTTGTTGGTTTTTGATACTGGATGGTGAAGTCATCTTTATCATTGTTTTCATCATCACCATATAAGCCACTGTCGGGGTCTGGAAGATCAGGTTTGTCATCTTCATCATTATCATCTTCGTCTTCATCATCATCATCACCATCACCAACAACAGGTGCAGAGGTAATGGGAAGATCATCATCCCTAGGGATGGCATCAACTTCCTCAGCTATAGCAGCTTCATCGAAGGTTGGTATAGCTTGGGCAACTTCAGCTTTAGCTTCAACTACAAGGATTGCTAGAGCAGCAGATGGTCCAGTAGCGTTGGACCACATCTCCCCCTCTCTAGCTAAGACTTGGGAGTATAATTCAGAGAGTTCGTTCATGTGCTGATGCTGGAGAACCATCATTTCCTCTAGCCGTGATAGAGCACTGGCTAGAGTTGTTGGTGCTTCATGCGTCTCATAGATCTGAGCGCGATCATCAATAGAGAAGGACGGCAGGATCACTGGAGCTGGTTGACGGACAGCATCCAGGATCTGCTGAAGAAGCTCTGCCTGCTGAAGAGACTGTGCCCGAGCGTCATCAGCCTTGCTAGATAGAACATTGATGGCTTCAGCGTTGGCTCGAGCAGCCTCTTGTAGAGTCAAGAGCTGACTCCTTACTTCTTGAACATCAGCTTTGACAGCTGAGAGGTCCGTATCAAGATCGGCCTTGCGAGGCATCTCTCAATGAACTTCGGTCATCTTGCAGAAGACGGTATCGACGGTTGTGAGAAGAAGCTTGACATTTGACGCCATGTCATAATCCTCGTCATATTCTTCGTCAATGGTGTCATCCTCCAAAAGACCTATAAGAGAAGGAGAATAAGCACATACACGCTCAGAATTAGAAGAAATGAAAGGATAGAAGGATGGAATACCTGAGGGGCCATCAGTGACATCCAAAGGATTGTCGTTGGCGTGCTCAAAGATGTCCTTGAGAGAATGAACATCTACTTGTTGAGGAGCCTCGAGAGGAGCAACCCCAGGTCCAGTGGTGTTTGTTTCAGCATCAGGAAGAACATTCGTTGATGAGTCATCACCATGTGTAGAGACCAAAGAAGGAGGAGAAGAGAAAACGGTTGAGAAGAGGCATGGGTGTTCAGTGGTGGTAGCCTTGATATTCAAACCTTCAGTGATTTGGGTCACTGAGGCGGTTGGGGTAGGTGCCACTGATACGAGAGTGATTGGAGAGATCACTGAAATGCTAGGAGGGTTAGCTAAAAGTGCCTCGGGGTTAAGGCTAGTTTCAATAGCTGAAACCTGTCGAGAGGTCTCAGCCAGAGATGTAGTTATACCCTGTTTGGCCTTCTTAGCTCTCTGAGGAGAACAAAGAGTTGGTTGTGAAGGAGGTTTTGGTGGCTGGGCTACACGGGGGGGGGGGTTTCCCTTGTCACCACCTGAGGAGAGGAGGGAGTGAAGGGCACTATTGAAGAGAGTGCAACGTCTTCATCCCTCAGCTTGTGATCCAGAATCCTGGATCCAAGCCTACACACCTGGAGGTTTCCTTCCTTTTAGTATTTTTCTCAAAAGATCTTAGCAGAGTCATCAAAAATGACCGCAGCATAATTTATATTGTAATATTCTGGCTATTATTTTAGGTTTATATATTTATATATATATATATATTTATATATATATATATATATATATATTTATATATATATATATATATATACGTGTGTATAATATATATATGATTTGTATGTGTGTATGAGGTATTTTATTTAAAAATTAAAGAGGGGAGGTCGGCTAGAGGAGCCGCCTA